CAAGAATCGTCGTGCGAAAGTACGCATGACGAAGATAAAGAGGCAACGTTTGTATGAAGAGGCTAGAAACTCCACAGGGAGCCCACTGACGCCAAACACAAACTCCAATTCCGACAAATGTAAGTTAATGTTGTGCCTACTTATGTTAAATGCGTAGAAGGATTTAACCCAAGTCTTTTGCTTGTAGAGACCCCGAAAACCCATGTGGCAAATTCGGTGGGGTGTTGGTCTGCAGAGCTATCTTCTGAAATGCATGTCTTTTAAGTGTGCTGCTTCCCTTAAAGTTGCGGCGATTAAACCAATATTTAGTCTTCAGCATTTTGAATAAACTATTTTTACCCCCAATTACTTGACTTGTCAGTGAACTGGGTTGGTCCTGGGATTGGCAATTTGCTTTGTGAAAAGCTGACTGTAGTTTAGGAGGGAGTAGTTATTTTGTTTGAAGTTAGACCCTCTGAAAATAAAAATAATTCCAGGAAACGCAATCGGACATACCTCGGATTTCGCGATGAATGATTTTCTTGCATTCATTGGGACGAGCTTGGTCGAATCACCAGCAGAATCCATAGTTTCCAAGATTACCCTGAGACAACGCATGCACCGCAGTGAGCTAAAAAAGGAAGCTACTCAAATTTGAGCTCCATGCAATATTTCGTTCAAAGATTGAACTTGCCACTGTCACAACCCAGCCAACAAATACCGTAAAGGCTTGCAGAAACGGCCTTAGGAGCATCGGATTAGTTGAGCTTAGCTGTGTACTGAATTACAGCAGATGGTGTTGCTGAACCGGCTTATCTCTGCAATAACTGTGGTTTATTTCTACTAGATGTGCTTGCCTGTTTCTCGACTCAGATAATCTAAGCTCCTGCTAGTGTATGATACAAACTTGATGAGTTAAAAACTACCAAGCAAGCGTGTTCGTTGCCTCCCGTAGACCTAAGAACGAAGTAATATGTGAGTGGCAGTTACATTGTCTTAAACAGCCACAACCTCCGGTAAAATGCGTCGGGATATATGCTAATGTGAAGTGCGTCTTACTGTCAACAGGGATAGTCGATTCCGGTGGGGAAGGGGCAGAGTTGGAGACACTGGTACCATCTATCAAACGGAGAGAGGCATTCATAGAATATCCGCTGGAGGATCCTACAGGTTTTCTGAGAGAGTGAGATAGTAGTGTCTCTCCACCTCTGCCGGTCAAAGCTTGTAGTGTTCGAGTCCGACCTTCTAGGTGTCCTCCTTTAACGCGAAGTCAAACTGCTTACCTTACCGTCAATTGAAGTCGCACTGGCTGGAATCGCCTGGGTGGACTGACAATTCTGGCGATCTGCCAGCTGCGATATAAGCCGCCCAAGAAGCAGGAACACACTCGCACTGCGAGTACACGAATCTGTTGTGTGCGTATGAATCTCCCTAGCTAATACAGAATTAATAATCTCGTACAACTACTGTTGCAGGCGTCATAGTAGCGTGTTGGAAAAATCACAAATCGGTCGGCGGTGTCTTAGCGATTAGAGCGTAATGTATAGGTCAAGGCCTAAGATGTGACTTAAGATGTGCCTTAAGCCTTGACCTAGACACTGCGCTCTAATCGCTGATAGATCCAGTGCATTCTTGGGTCCTGCGCTGCAGCCGAATTATAAACTGTTGTACAGATCCGCAGAGGGAACACGGAATCTCATTGCTATTCTCGGCATAGTTTTCTTGTCATTCATTAATCACATTCGGGATGACAAATGAGCGCTTTGCAATAAATCTTTGATCTTTACCAGCACCGAGGTCCCCTATACTCTCCCCAGTTTCTTGTCAGCGGTGCCCAGCAATTATGGCGGAATACGAGCTTGCACCCTTTGGTTGCGTGCCAGACTGAAATTGTGGAAAGATAAATGTGAAATTCAATGACAGAAACCCCGCAGATAGATCGTCATCTATAAGGGACGATCCCTTCTCAAAAGAAAGGTAAGAGAAAAATGTAAGTTCCCTTCTCGCCAACCGACATTACTTCTGCTTTCAGTGTCTGCCAGTTCTCCTGCCGACCAACTACACAGCCCACGGAACACACAGAGAACGGAAGAAACAGAAACCGGCTGAGCGATTCGACTTCAAAGTGGGTTTGAAATAAGAATACCTACTCTTGGTGAAATACTTACAATTCGATTTCTCAAATGAGATCATCTTCATGTTATTTGTTATTTTTACATGGGACAATTCTGGCGTTGGGGTTAGCATGTCTTTATACTTCTAAATTTCAATTTCTTTTAGATGAACTGCCACGTCTGCATCAAACACGCATACTTTTGCTTCCAAGCGGACCAAGAAAGTGGTCTAATGGGGACTACCTGACGCTCACTGCAAGGCGTTCAAGAGTACGACAACGATTTCAGCTACCTGCATCAGTGGCTGTTCTCAATCCCTAAGCATAACGTTGAAACGAATGGCTGTTGTGCTGAAGGATGCTGTGAATCATCTGAAATCAGCCCCTTCAAAAACATACCTCACAAGTGATTGAGGTAGCAATCCGGAAGACGAATTGGAACCCTTTCAATTCACCAGTGTCTTGGAAGACCCCCTAGTACAGTGGGATCAGGTTTACCGAGGCGAATGGTCTGAAAATGGTTTTCTGTGTGTTCCGTCTCACTCAATCATTAAATGTTCAACGAATCTTTCGTTAACTTTAAACATTCAAACAGCATCACGGCAGTTTGTAGTGTAAATCGCAGTCGGTAGTGTTTGGGCATCATCAGAGCACTCACCATAAAATCTACGTTAAATTTGGCCAACTCAGTGTAAGCAAGCAACATCAGGAAAGCGGAAAGCCAGCATGTCTGCATACATGCAAAGTAGTTGCTGGTTTTGTTGTTGAAAATCGAGATGGATGGCTTGTGGGTCGACATACCGACGTGAATGCGGACGATTCATGGGCACTTGTAATGCCTACGCATTCAGTCAATCGAGCAATGCATTCGGACACTTTCCTGATCAAAGTAGAGCTACATTCGATTTCAAAAAGTCACGAGTTGGGCAACCATTTAGCTTTGAAGACGTGTAGACTGTGCGAAATGCAAATCGGGTACAGCATGCTCGTGTAAATGCACGCCATCAATTACCTGCAGAAAAACAATGTGTTAGTCGTCATTTTTTACCATTTAACCGGGTCCATTAGCCATGCTCCAGGTCAATAGTTTGTTCATCGAAGAAGTAGTCTCTGGCCTCCCTTCAAGTGTTTACATAAAGGTGCACGGGGAAGTGGTGCTACTGGATTAAACCAATCACGAGACACGACATGACATTTATGCAGTCGGCGCATACCTACAGCTTCGGGTGAAGGATGGTTCATTTAAACAAAATGCACGGTTTCTGGCCTTTGGGTAAGTCGTCTTTGCTGTTGTCCATTTCGAAGAATTTTTTTGTGCCAATTACAAATTTCTTCCATTATGTAGTGGGGCAGGTGTAAGTGAACACGCAACATATTCCAGTAAAGCATTTCACGTAGATTTAAGTCTCCCTTGTAGAAGTAGGCAAGTGTTACTCCTCGGATTTCAACGTATAGCCTAAATCGTCAATTCATGCGCTGGAAGACGCTGTTAGTTTGTTTTCATCCAAAACCACCCATTGAAGGTATCGACTTTCCGTGATTTTTCCACCTTCCGTAAAACCTGAGTTTGACCTTCGGACGGAAGGGACCAGGTGCTTGCTTGTGGAGTCTCCCGGACCAGAAATTTCGCAGGTTTATATATTTGCCGGGGGACAGAATTCATGCATAAGAATTTCCTTCTACCCTCGTGGTACGGTTGGTTTGTGTTGGTTACGTAAATATCGATAACTACATTAAATAATACAGAAACCCTACCTAAAAAACCCAAAACGGAAAATAAAAAAATATTCCAAAACCGGATTTTTCTTTACAGATTTTACTAAAATTAGCAAGATGTGGATTAAGTTGGACCTATTGTGTAAATTCGAACCTCTCCAAACGCTTGGATGCCGATTGCGAACAAAATACGGCATCACACTCTCGCACGGCCTTGAAGACCTGCCTAAAATTAGAAAAAAATCGTCTGCAATTTACGAGACGCAGCACCAAATTCCATAGGTGTGAAATTTAAAATAGACAATTTCGTATTTTTGACGTTGCAAAATCTGCTCATTTAATTTCAATCACGTTTTCCCGAAATTTTCCATTGCTCCAAAAGTCTTCCTCGCACAGATTCACATGATAGATTATACCGCAATAGGGTGAATTTTCTTTCATCCAATTTGTTGAAATCGACTCGATGCAATGACACTTTAAAAATGCGCCCTATTCGTTCTGCAATAATTTCGGGATATACTAGGGACCTCCACGGATCTTCCGCCATGTGAAGGCTACGGCGAGAAGTTCCATTGTTGTCGGTTTATTTTAAACCATTTTCCGAATTCCACCACAGCGGATAATTACAATCAATTAGCAAACCTTTGGTAACGTAGGGACTAAATGCCTGTACTTAATGTTGATTTTCGAAAATAACAGCTCAAATGATATAAGCCAATTTTGTGTTCACGAGAGTTGCCAGGATTTGCGAATGACTGTTCAGTCCAAGGATATCATGTAGTAGATATTTGGAATTTGAATTGAATCGATTATGCAGTCTCAATGCACGTGCTGCACATGCCGATGCGGTGTTAGAGACACAGGAGCCCTAGCTGGATAACCGCACCCCACAACATTAAAATTAAACCTCCTGATTGATATTCCAGTCTGGCTACTTTTGCTGTGCTTACTGACGGCACAGCCATCGCATGGCAGTGATTCTCCAACTACAGGTTCGAAAATCTTCCACATTCTTACTCAATATGGAATGACCCTGCTCCACGCTGGAAAGGACTTCTACCAGCTGAAGCTGCCACTGAAGTTGAAAAACGTGGAAATCCGTAATGTCAGTGTCTTCAATCTGGCCTCAATGAACGAGGCCTGTCCGCCGCGAATCCAATCACTTCCTTCTGGAAAGGGTAAAATTGGGAAGTGGAGCACCGTCGAACGCTGCTTCCGCCTCGACTGGTGCATAGGGCTTGACGAGCTTCGTGTCGAGGGCCAGTCGAAGATAAAGCTTTTCTTCAAAACCAAGGCAAGTTGCTGCTTTAGCAGACTGCGGCGAACTTGCAACACACCCATCCAACAGGTCTCTCGCAATTTTAAATTCAGTCCTCCTGGAAAGCAACTATTTCCCGATTGCTTTGTAATCCGGTGTGGTCAGTTGCCTACACGCCAACAGCTCAAAGTACAATACACTTTCCAACTGCTATCACATTGACAGCCTCGTCAATTTTTTTAAATGCAATTCGGCTGTTTTATGTGGCTTGTGGTGGTTAATAGGGACTGGATCTCACAATTATTCCTAAGTCGATAATAATTATGAACAGTTCCACTGCATTTGAGGTACATTTTGCAACGACTGAACCTCAGTGTTATGATAATTTCATTCATGCAGATCGCATCATCGGGCTTCCCAACTAGTTTGAATCATGGCAAAGTAGGTTTTCGACTGTCGTGACTTGAAAACCACCTCTCACTAACACCACCCAAGATCACATTTCGTAAAAAAAAATATATAAATTACTGGAACGCAGTGGGAAGGGTCAAACCTATTTGAAATACTCATCGTGCGGTTTCGTTAACAGGGGTGCTGAATATTTTGCCAAAAAACACAACCGTTATTTTAGGTGAGCCAGACGTCTGGAATAGAATGTGAACCGTTTTTGTCTGCGGAAACAAACGGTTAAAAGTTCGTGTACTTTTGCCCTTAAATAAACCGATTAGATGGCAAACCACCTTTTGCATTCCTCAACATTCACTTGGTTACAGGAAAAAAATAGCAAATTTTGTCTTAATAAAACCGCATCGAGCTGTCGTTTAATTATGTCATTATCAAAATCTGATTGACTAGTAAGGGTGGTCAACAAATTGACTTAAACTTAGCAAATAAAGCAGCCTGTGTGACTAGAGCGAAAAGACGGGGAAATCTAGTTAAGAAAAAAATAAGTACAAGTTCTTGGTGTGACCATGTTTGCTGTTCTTCAAAACAGCCTGAACTGATGTTCATTTTTTAATCTTTCTCTTAGTTTCACCCCGCTACCCTGACTGTGCTGCCTTTCACCCTGAAGGCGGAGCTGCGAATATGTTTTCCGTTTTTGAACCAAGAGGAGCTGAGTCACGACTCGCCGCCTCGGCTTAACTCCTCGCGTTCAGCCGCCTTCTCCATCGTGCTAGAAGACGTCAGTTTCGTCCAGTGGAAAGGCGTCCGTCTGAAGGGGTCTGGGACTTTCAATCGCGTCGTGGGCTTCTTCATTAACCGCAGTGATCTCCTAAACGGCCTGCTTCGTGACAAGATCGAGGAGTGGGTGAAACGGGTGATGCCGGTCAAATTCGCCGAATTCACCGACAGAATCTACACCAAACTGGATGGTCTTATCAACCGAACCATTGCAAGATATGCAATCCGAAACTAGCCGAACGCGACCCAAACTCCACCACGAACTTGGCCCTTGAGATAACCTGCTTTAAGCATTCTCTACACGACTGTTTAACCTCGCCATACAGCTCCCTCCTTCAATAATTAATCTGTTCGAATCCCGTTGGCTAATATAAAGCAATCGCAGATCGAATTTCAGACTAACCGTGGGAAATCGCATTGCACCTATTCTCTTACCGGTTGTGGAAATTAATCCCATAAAAAAATAATCTTTTTTTGAAAAAAAAAGCCTGTATGAGAATTCTTTATTCTTCATTTAGTCAATCACATGTCCATTTATTCTGTCAGAATTCGTGTAAATTGAAAAGTTCCCATTTTATAAGCAAGGTACGTACAATCTGTGCATGAGTGTTATGTATTTACACTGAAATACGATCAAAGTCAGATTTGGGGAGCGAAACCACCGTCGCCAAAAATCTGCAATGCAAGTTGCAGCAGAGGTTGGGGCAGAGTTGGATTCACGATGGTGTCCTCAATTACCGACCTCAAGTACCGCTGTATCCAAATTCTTGATGGGAAGGCCGTCAAGACGGAGATCAGTTCCACGGCTTTGAAGACGACGAGGTGAAGGAAATTGGGTGCCTTTGCGTCAATGGGCTCCACACTTACGCCTGACCAGCGAGAAATCTTCAGGCGTTTCAGCTTGAACAGGTTCCTTGTTTGATTCCTACTCACTGGTGGTAAAAATTGGAGCTTCATTTCGGCTAAAACCGGGTGGACGGTGATTCGAATGGGGGGAGATGCAGGTATCAAGGGGCATTCTATGCGGCCAATAAAATTTAGGGAATCAGAACTCATCCAAACGCGTATGAACGACCGCCTTTTGGCTGGGCTTCCCGATGCAGGTGTTTGGACTTCCCATCGACACCTGAGAGTCACGTTTTCAAATTCACTTAGCCAGAGTTCAGTGAGTTTGAACGAGAGGAAATTGTAGGCGGCAGGTGGTTGGTTTATTCGAATGGGGGTTTGGTTCGACAGGAATGCGTGGAATGAGAGGTCCAGTAGCCCATCAAGATCTTCCACGTCAGCGTGAACTCCTCGAAATGGTAATTTCGAGAATAAATCGGACTTGGTATCTGAATGCACGATTAAATTTGGTAAGTTTGACTATGAAGGAAACCAAAGTTGTCTATTTGGACTGGCTACCAGACGTCAAACCTCGCAGTCATCTCCTTGGCAAGTTACAGAAATAAATACATCAATTGGCTTGATCATAACCGCATCGTCTGCCTCGAGTAACATGTTTTTCGTCATGAAATACTTGCGAATATTGAGTTTTTATTTTGGAGAATACTCAAATAAAACTCTTAACTGCAAACGCCAAAGACGCGATTTTTTCATTTGGTTGCACAAATTCATTTTACATGCTGTTGGAAAGTCATGGCAACACTAACAGTCAGCCGCTTTTTATTATTTAAAGAATTTTCAAATGAACTATATTATGCTTAAGACAACCAAAAACCCGATTAAGGAAAACAAAAGCTATTCGGAAAAATTTGGCTGTCTAAAAAATTTTTTTAATGAATAAAAGCTCTTCTTGCCCCAGGAACTGTTGTAATCGCATTTGCAATATAAGTTAGGCTTTTTTTAAAAATTCAACTTATTTGCCAATATATGTATTGGAGAAGTTAGTTGTTAATATATGTATTTGCGAACCACGTGGAAATCTGTGAAATCCAGGGGGCCACGTGATCATCACGAGTTATTTACTCCGAAATCACGTATTAACACAAGATTCCACGACAAAATCTGATTTCACGCGATTAAGAAGCTTAACCACTTACTCTCAGGTACGCCAGACTGGCCCGTGTTTTTGGAGAAAGCTGCCAAAAAGTAGAGGAGCAAAATTACACAATTAACAATAGAACAGCACCACAAAAACTGTTCTATTAACCGGGGTAAATTCATTTTCCTAGCCCCTGCGTCCATTTTAGGCAAACTGGCGATTAGTGTTCAAATAAAAATCGATAGTAAATGTGGCGTGCAGCGGCTTATCGATCCGTTGGCCTATCAGCTGATTTTGACGGGTGATCATGCTCATAGCTTACTTAGGCTATTTGCTTGCTGTTGCACTTGCCAGATCCCAACCACTGCAAGTTTGCCAGAGCACAACCAAGGGGAATGACTCATCACCAGCGACCACAAACTGCCTTTCAGTACGGCTTGAGGAGGCAAATCTGAAGCACCACGCTATCCTCCAAAAATACGATTATAGACACAGAGTGACAATAAAGTGTTCGATTTGTGCTGGAGAAGATCATGGCGACTTCATTTGGTACTTTATACCTCGAAGCATGTTCCCAGTATTCACGACAAAAGATGGGAAAGTGGGTCTCATTCCGCCTGGCGGAAGTCCTCTTACTCAGGACAGATTCACAGGAAATACGACGCCATGTTTAGTTAATGAAACTAATGACCTATTGATTCCCAGTTTCAGTAGAAACCTCCACGTCGGTACATACTACTGTCGGAACATCCAGAACAGTGATCACCCGGCAAATTCGATATGGTATCACGTAGACATTGTCCATCCGCCCGATTCAAGAGACCACAGTGAGGAGTTTCAGAAGCTTCCCCCTAGGCTCAAAAGTTTGCAGAGAATCTCACAGATAAGCGATATCGACGAAATCATGGAGGCTGTGGGAAAGGCTCTGATGGAGTCGCAGTCCTTCACTGATTTCAAAGACGACGTCCTGAGCGTCACTTCTCGACTCTCGAAGGTGGAAAAGCCGACGCAAATCTGCGGTAGGTTCGTGATGATGCGCTACAGACAGTGCTACCTGACCATCCCGAAGAGTTTGAGCTCGCAAACTCGACGGGTCGCATCGCCCGATTCGCTGCTCAACTACGAGCTCCTCCGTACCCTGTTCAGCTCCTTCTACACGTGGGTGGACGAGGCCAATCCGGCCATTAGGGAGACCCAAAAACGCGCTGCTGAACTGAACGCCTTGGAGTTGGGGTTTGAACTCTACTTTGAACAGGACAAGTTCTTTATTCCGTGCCACTTCACCTACTTGCAACACCTAAGATTGCTGGTTGGCCTACCTAAACCGTTCGACGCGAAGAACCTCTACGTCAACATGTCCTTCGACAAAACCTGCCCAGAAGTGGACTACGTGGAATTGGTGAATTTGGCACTCTCTGGCGACATTAAGTCCATGAAAAGTGAGATCCTGGGCTACGAGGAAAAGCGCTTCATGAAGATTGAGAAGGTTGCGATTGAAGGCACGGTGGATTTTGAGATGATTTGTGGAGGCGAGGGTGACGTGACGAATTACAACTGCTCCGAGATGGCAAACTTGACGATACTCTGGAAGCAGCCTAAAGGTTAGTCCCTCGGATTTCTGCGCTGCAGGTTCAAGCTTGGAGAGCCCGTAAATCAATAACCAGACTGAACGGGAATCACCAATGGGATTTTCCGTGGGATTCAGGTGTCAGTAGCGTCGAGAAGTTGTGTAACACCAGTCGTGCTGCATTTGCTCTATTTTTGAACTGGCAAGAGAATCACACATGCGTCGTACATTGTGTTGAGACGAGGTCGATTGTGCGTGAACAAGCCTCATCCCTAACCACTTGCACTGGTTAAGATGCCATCCATCCTGTAGACGGGTTTCTCTAGCGGATTGTGATTCGCTTGTAAAAGAACTATGTGTGCTTCGTTGTAATATATAAAGTGTAAAAGTAAAGTTAGCTTTTTTGAACTCGGAGGATAAGTAGAATCGGGAGAAGCAGTGGTTGGTCAGTTGCTCCACTTGGGAACCAATGGGGCACAGTATTGTGAAAAGGGGG